TGGAAACCTGATGTAAACATATAATCAATGAGTCCCATCATTGCTGATAACCGCCCCCAACTGGCTCACTCCCTCATCTCAAAAAGCCATCCCTTTAGGCTATTAGCTCCGTCCAGCTAACTCTTTCTACTATTCCTTGCCTGCTGCTTTTACCTTGGCCATTCGTTTAGACCAGCAGAGTCAGAAGTAATTTTATACGCAGCAGAGAGCGGGTGGAATTGATTTTTCACTCAGCACTCAGTTCCCATCTGAATAATTATCAATTTTACTGCCTCATAAAGGGGAGAGTCAAAATTTCAAATCAATTCAAAAGAGCTTCTGAGACTAGAGAAACGGTGCACAAGGAGAAAGGTCAAAGTTGGCAGTGACCTCGGGAGATGATGTCAGGTATTAGAACACTGAATGGTTGACATCAGAAGCACTCAGTACGGTATGACTCGTGCTAATGCAAATCATATTTATGCTGACTACTGGAGACCAGTCATTAATATTTAAAAGAGTACCTGAAAGCCTACATTCAGACGAACTATAATGTATTCGACAAACTGCGAAGCTAATAAAGACAGATCACTGCTTATTCATACGATATAAATTTCAGGATTGCCAAGCATCATTAACACAAAATACGGCGTTCAGGTCATAAGGAAGGCAAACGTATGAAAATCCTGATTTGAGGTCAGTATGCTATTATTTCTGATCCTACAGTTGTATTTATAGAGCAGGAACTACTGTACACAGTGACAGGTGAGTACTGAACACACCGCCAAGTTCTAATCAATTTCTGCTTTGGATTGGCTTCTGCAGGAAGTCGTAGCGAGAGGGAATGATGGCAATGAATCACATGCCGATAATAATGCCAGTCAAATACATGCCTAAATAATATGCTGTGTACCAGTTCCTTATTTGCCTTTATTTGGAAACAAAGATCACCCAATGTAATCGGAACAATAAATAACAATGATAAATCTTGTAAACTTAAATAGCAAGCACCATTTCTGTTACCTAACCATCAGTACAATCTCCAGGTCACTAAAGATCTTCCACTGATGTCACTCTGTCCTGATTACAGCCATAAATCCAAGCAGTTACATGGTATTTAGTTAACAATCTGTTCTTAAAATGCCCACCAGTCTGCCATTTGGGATTAAATCATTCACCAAAGACAAAACTGACTATGAAACTGTCAAAATGCATGGTTCCTTGCAACAATAGTGCATCCCATAATAATAGAAACAGAAGCACAACACCTCTCTGTATCGTCTTCAGATCATGAAATTTTTATTACTCGATTTGCCTTGAAAAGACAAACGACAATCAATTGCTTAGTTGAATATCATATGAGCATCTAGTTATTTTTTTATTTAGAACTACTGTATTCCATCTGCTTATCTCTGAGGTGACTCAGATAAAAGATTAAATACTAATACAAAATATAATACTAAGATACTAAGTAAAATCCATCTAATATACAAGGAAAAAGAAAAGTCAGAAGAATAAGTGTACTTACTAAAATCTGGTACAATTAATATATATATGTTGAAGACTCAAGTACATTAAAAAGCCTTCACCAGACGCCTAAAAGACATTTAAGTAGGTGCTAGGCAAAAAATGTTTAGAGAGAAAGTTCCAAAGTCAAGCTGCCACACTTTTTTCAAAAAAAGGGCCCTGCATCAAACTTCCAAAGGTGGAGGCAACTAGATCAGGGCCTCAGTTGATAATCTAAGCAAACAGGCACATCCATGTAAGAGAAGACTGTTGCCCTGAGGCTGTTTAGAGCTTCAGACACTAAAATGAACTTTGAACTGCACCCAAAAACATACTAGAAGCCAACAAAGTTCTTTTGGTTCCAGCAAAAACACATTCAGCACAGCAGTTTCTAATTGGTAACTTGGTCACTGAACCTGTTCAAGTTTCTGAAAACTCTTACACAGGCAGCCTAATGTATAACCACATTGCAGATATCTAATGTGAGATGTCAACAAGGCATGGATAAATGTGGCAAGATTTTAGTTATCAAGGAGAGGCTGCAGCTAGCACGCCAAGGCAGAAAGCTTTCCACACTACAGACTTCATTTGGGTGCCTATAAGCAAAGCTTGACCTAAAAAACACCACCAAATTCTCTTAAGGGGAACTGCAATTTCATCAAGAACAAGCCAAATATTAACTCACTACCCAACCATACCATCTATGAACATTCTTCAGTCTTGTCTGTTGAGATTTAGTTTATCAGCATTTATCGAGATACCTACACCTATTCCTGTCCCAGGCATTCACCACTATATTTGGATTGGGAGAAGGAGGGAGAACTCTCCAGATGGTTTCACTAAACAGGATGTAAGGCAAAATTGATTACTAGGGAGCCAAAAGTGCTCTAGTTAGAGGGACAGCATGCCAACAAGTGATCAACACTATATTTCAGAGGTCAACTAGGACTCCCGTAGGTGTGTCAGCAACATCAAGCTGTAAACTCCCATAGTACCAGACCATTGACCATGCTGGCTGGGAATGACAGAACTTGAGATTCTGAAACATCTCGAGGGTATCAGGCTCAGGAAAACTGGTATACAGGATTCCAAATCTGGCCACACATTCGGAAAGGTACCACAAAGAGGTCAACTTATTTTCAACCCCAACTTTCCAATAATGAGTTAATATTTTTCACTGCTGTTGCATCCCAGGTTGCAATGCTTTTCACTGAGCTATCCACAATGGCCCCAAAATTTCTTTCCTGAATACTCAACCACTGAAGACTCCCTTAGTGCATTATAGAAGCTTCTGAACTTCTATAATAAAATCATTTCACATGTGTGCTGATTGGGCACATGGTTTTTTTTGGCAAAGTGCCTTTTGCTTTCCGGCAGAGATGCACTGACACTGGAAATCCAGTGCAAAAGGAAGTTGTGGTGGAATAGGTCTCTTGTGTGCAGATGACGCCAGCATCTCCCACAGTGGTCAAAGGTGCCCACTTATTTGTAAGGTAGTTGATACTGGGTCAATGAGGAAGACTATTGTGATTGTTGACAGTGAGGTCGTCAGCGCCTGGAGTTAAGAACATGATCTCCCCATGACTACTGTATCACTAGAGGCTTTTTCTAAACTTCCAAAACAAAAAAACCCCAGCAATTTTTAAAAAAGTCTCATCTATTAACTTATAAACTGGAATATCCCTGTAAACTTGCGTTATAAGAAAGAAGAGGAGCTACGACAGCAGCGCGGATGTTATTTGCCCAAAGATGGAAGGCAGACAAAGTACCTACAAGAGAAGAGAATACTCATCGCAAAACATTGGAAGACACAAGATTTGCCCACTCTGGAAGAATGGCAGATGCAACTGATAGACTATATGGAATTGGCAGAAATGACTGGCAGAATTCGAGACCTGGGAGAAGAGCTAGTGGAAGAGGACTGGAAGAAATTTAAAGACTACTTGCAAAAGCATTGTAAATTGTATGAATGTTAGAATGATGCAGGATATAAAGATAATGTGGCATTAGTGACATAGCTGAAAGGAATATGCAAAAACTGGTTTATAAGAACAAAGGTGAAGTTAGAATAATGTTATATCAAACTCAAATAATTGATAATAAAGGGAAAAATTGGAGTTCAACAATAGTTGAAATGTATAATACAAAATAAGATTTAAAAGAATGTGAACTTTGTTTTATTGCCTAAAATCTTAATAAATATCTTTAAAAAAAACAAAAAACAAAGTACCTACAAGAGAAGAAGGCTGACAAAGATGATGGACTATGCCGAAATGGCGAAAATGACCAGGAAGATTTTATGGGAATGTTTAGGGATGCAGGGGAGGATATATTGTCTAAGATATCCTATCCCAACTTGTCTTTACAAGTTCAACAAAATCAGCAGAGTTAACATTCTCCTTTTTTTAAACACACGCACAGCAGGTAGCTTCCTCAGTCTCATTAGTCTCTGTAAATATTTCCTGGTATTTTCCCCGTTTAATCCCTCCTAAAATAAGATGCTACGCAGTCTTCTGTAAAGTATAAAACGTTTACTCACAAGCAATCATCTGTTCACACAAAGGTTCCCAGAAGGGAGACTTAAAAGGTTATAACATAGTTTAAATGTGGTGACTATCCCCTTATGGGAGAAAGCCCCCCTTTTATTCTCTTGGCCTGGAGCCAGGGGGTGCATTTTAGTAGTGCTGTTGTTAAGATGGCATTGATAGAGATAAGAGAGACAAGAAGAGACAAGATGGTCGCCAGCCTGTAGGTTCTGGATCATTCCACTTCAGGAGAGGCCACGGCCATCTCAAGTTACACATAGGAAGTTTCGTCTCAGTCCTGGAAAGCAGGAAGTTCCAGCTGGAGGACTGAAGAAGAGTTTGGATTTGATATCCCGCTTTATCACTACCCGAAGGAGTCTCAAAGCGGCTAACATTCTCCTTTCCCTTCCTCCCCCACAACAAACACTCTGTGAGGTGAGTGGGGCTGAGAGACTTCAAAGAAGTGTGATTGGCCCAAGGTCACCCAGCAGCTGCATGTGGAGGAGCGGAGACGCGAACCCGGTTCACCAGATTACGAGTCCACCGCTCTTAACCACTACACCACACTGTCTGTTCTTGCAATGTTGTGTTTGACTGCACCTGATTCTTACATCCCACAGATTTACTATCAAGAGGATAATAAATTTAATAAAGAATGGGGAAAATTTATGTTACTTCAAAGAACACTGTAAACAATTAAAAACGTTGACAGGATTCTAAAAAACACTTGCAATGTAGCGAGAACTATGGTGAAAATTGAGGGTTAAGAAAATATGGAGAACATTATATGATGCAGTTAGAAAGTAAGTTCTGGGACTCAGACAATCCTATGTGTACATGATTAGGATTTATTTGTGATGATAATTGTTAAAGGCAAAAATGAATACATTTTTTTTTAAAGAAAGGAGAGGAGAGGAGAGGAGAGGAGAACACCTTTGCTCACAACGATAACAAAAATGGAGGAAAGCTGCACATTGCTACGGAGCTTACCTGCTGCAATACCTCTGAGTTCTGCTGCATGAAGTGCAGTAATCTTTGCCCATCTTGGGAAGTCTCTCTACATCTCAGAGGTTTCTTGCCTTCTTTTGCTATGTGCTTAAAGAGGTAGGTGACAATGTAGTCTAAACTTGCACAGCAGCTGGAGGAGACAATGGTATCTGCACACGGCAAACGAAATAAAATGTAATTAATTAGGAGAAAGTTCTAATAAAGTAGTAACATCCTAGATGAGAAAGAGAAATCACAATATTACAGTGAGATTAGGTATCTGGATGGAAATGTTTCACCGCACCGTTGCTCTTCTTCGGTAGGTTTAACATATTCAAAGTAGATTTCAGTGCAACAGGCCCTCTTCTCTCACTCTAAACCGCACAGGGGGACTCCTAAACCCCACTGGTATTCTGCCTAGTTGTAAGCACTCCTGCTGGGTGTTCCAAATTGCAGGATTCCAGCTGCTTCCTTATTGCTATGAAATTATGAAATCTGAAGAGTTTGTACTTGGGGGATAAGAGCAAATGTTTTCATTCTCCTGTTTTAAAATCCTAACTGAAGAGCCAAGATCGCAATTTGCCTGAAAAGGAATGCACAGGTTGAACATGTAATTCAAGGGTCTTTTATTATTAAATATTCAGGGATATTGTAGGGACGTGGGTGACGCTGTGGTCTAAACCACTAAGCCTCTTGGGCTTGCCAATAGGAAGGTCGGCGGTTCAAATCTGTGCAACGGTGGTGAGCTCCCATTGCTCGGTCCCAGCTCCTGCCAACCTAGCAGTTCATAAGCACGCCAGTGCAAGTAGGTAAATAGGTACCACTGCGGCAGGAAGGTCAACAGCATTTCTGTGCACTTTGGTTTCTGTCACGGTGTTCCGTTGCGCCAGAAGCAGTTTAGTCATGCTAGCCACAGAAAGCTGTCTGTGGACAAACGCTGGCTGGATGAGCGCCGCATCCCGTAGTCACCTTTGATTGGACTTAACCGTTCAGGGGTCCTTTACCTTTACCTTATTCAGGATATTATTAAGAATTTGGAAAAATGACACAAGCTTGCCAGCTAACAAAAATATTAAAAATAGTATTTCGATAGAACATTAAACCTTAGGATGACACTGATGCTGAGGTATGGAATGAGAAATGAGGAAGACAGAAGTAAATGGCTGGTTGGATATTTTTATTGCAATCAGGAAAACTTGTCAGAAGACCAAAGGAAATAAAGGAAACTTGTCAGAAGACCAAAACCGAACCATATCTGATACAACATTAATGTGTCCATCTGACTCATGTACACTATTTTTTTCCCTGCTTGAAGGACAGGCGCAGTGTCTTCCTCACCTCAGTTCCTTTATTTACACCTCTCTTTTGCAAGGACACCCCGTTCAGTGCCATACTTTTAACAGCAGAATACCTTCGTATGCTCAATATAGTCAACCGATTCCCAAATCCATATACAGTGGTGCCTCGCAAGACGAAAAGAATCCGTTCCGCGAGTCTCTTCGTCTTGCGGTTTTTTCGTCTTGCGAAGCAAGCCCATTAGCGGCTTAGCGGATTAGCACTATTAGCGGCTTAGCGGGCTTAGCGGATCAGCTGATAAGCGGCTTAGTGGATCAGCTGATAAGCGGCTTAGCAGCTTGGGAAAAAGGGGGGGGGAGGAAAAAAACCCTGCAGGAACTCGCAAGACATTTTCGTCTTGCGAAGCAAGCCCATAGGAAATTCGTCTTGCGAAGCACCTCCAAAACGGAAAACCCTTTCGTCTAGCGGGTTTTCCGTCTTGCGAGGCCTTCGTCTTGCGGGGCACCGCTGTATTACTGATGCAATAACTTTGGAGAATGTTCGTTGTATTTACACTAACTAGAATTATCCGCTCAGCTTGTAATGTGGATAAAAATATTCATGCTGCCATTATATCATCATAACCTTACTCCAACACATGCTGCCTCAGTTCAATGAAAACAGAGTCTGTTTGCTTATACGCATTAGCATATGGCAACAATAGATTGGTTATTTTCTATCTGTGCCCTGTTTATAAATGTAGGCAATCTTATCTACTTTCTCCTTACTGGGTTATTTGGTCTTCTTTTCCCACACCATAGTTTTTTCTAGCATTACTCTGTAGCCAAGTGCAGCTTCTTTTTCAGTTCTAATGGCAGTCACGCTTTAAGCTACTGCAGATAATTTGTCTCCCTTTTTGTTCAAAGAAGGAGAAAATGGAACGGAGGCTGGTATAAGAAACAATCACATTCGTAGGAGATTGCCAGCATTTGGGGATTCAACCTGCTCCCAAGTGAGGGCAATTGACTCTAAGGGTTGCAAATCTAGGTCACCATAGAATTGGTTTTGATTGCCTAGCTTTTGGATGGGTGCACGAATTAAATTGTTAAAATATTCATTTGGAAGAGAAAGAGAAGGTGTATGATAGACTCAATTAAGTGTATCCCCCTAAACTGTGATGAGTGGAAACCTGCCAATATTGCAGTGAGCATTTGAGAACTTCTCTCTAGACGCCAGATTGTTGATCTGTGCCAGTTCTGCTTCATAAACGTTGTTTTCAAGTTTACTTGTATTTGAACATCATTGCAATATATTTTCTCCTAAGCTAAGTTCTCCTGAGGTCTTAGAAAGGATTTTGCAGACAATATAGCCACAATTAGTCTCAAGACTCTCTTAATCTTACCAAGTATGAAACATTCCTGTGAATTTCTGATAATCCCCATTTCTACTGGCTTCAAATGGAGGTGAAGTTTCGTATCTCTTTCCCAGAGTTTCTTTATTTGTAGAATCTACCCAATCTATCTATTATCCATCTCTCATAATAATGCCCCATCCATTCACCATGTTGCTGAGGTTGTCATACATGGTTATCTCATTTTATCATCTCACCAGCATGTAAGTACTGAATCTAACACGGATAAATTAGACATCCTTACACATCAAGTCATACAGAATTCACTACATTAAGTGCCGGATCAAAGCTTAATGTTGTGTTTCCAAGGGGGTTGCTCGGGAGCAAGCAGGCAAATATCTCCCTACTTGGCTGTGAAGTCTTGGCTTTGCTGCCAAAATAAACTTTATCTGTCCGGAGCGCCACTCTCCTGTGGCTGACTCAATCGCTGGCAGAATCCGTGAGTGGGCGGTTCTTAAACTTTCCCCAGCAAAGCAGCTTCTTGATGCCCAATCTGCGCCTCCCCTCTCTGCGCGAATGCTTTCTGCGCAAAGAGGGCGTGGGCAGCGGAGGACCCCTTCCCTCCCCGCTTCTCCCAGGCAAGGAGTCCTTTGACCGCCTCGCCACTTCCGACTCCTGCACCTCCTCTCCACTGGAGCCGCGTTTCCTCTCCTCCGTTGAAGAGGAGCTACTTCCCATGATCCCTGGAGGCTCTCTATAATCCATTTGGCTTTTGCTCTCTCCCTCCTGCACTGATGGCAGTTCCCTGACACTTAAGATCAAGATATTTTAAATTCCAAAATGGGAGAAAATGCAGAACCAAGCAATTCCTTCTCCCAAGGCATGGCAGTTTGAACTCTGCAGTGCAATGACTTGTGATCTCAGGGCTACTTGATATACAGGTGAAACTCAAGAAATTAGACTATCGTGGAAAAGTTCATTTACTTCAGTAATTCAACTTAAAAGGTGAAACTAATATATGAGATGGACTCGTGACATGCAAAGTGAGATATGTCATGCCTTTATTTGTTATAATTGTGATGATTATGGCGTACAGCTGATGAAAACTAGACCCCCTATAACAGGACGGGCAACTTCAGGCCCTCTGGGCTTCTCTGTCTGGTCCTTGGGATTTTAGCCGAAGTGGAACCCAATGCAGGACCAATGTAGGGTGGGACTATGCAGTGGTACTGAGTACTTTGGGACAAAACAAACAAGCTTCAATGTGGGTCATGGGGGGGGCTGGATCTTCACTTCTGACATTGGGATCATTTGAACAGGTTGTGAAAAGTAGAATTTGAAAGATGTATGTAGATGACCAGTGACTACCCTACCCATTTGGGGTGGAGGAAGGCGGATTTCTCATCTACTCCACCATTTCCCCTTGTAATTCTATTTCTGATATCATCTTTTCCAAGGGCAGTGTTGATTGTGACATAGAAGCGGAGGGAGGAAAAATCTCAATCGAGAACCTGACTGTTGCTTTGAGGTGAACTAAAGTCATTATTCAAACAAAGGTCTGAGAGATGTGACCAAGAACACAACTCCAGGCATCAAGATATATGAAGTAATTGTTTGCAAAGTGCAGAATTAATCTACTATGTTGGCCACCCAAGGAAGGCAACTGCATGGGCCTGGTTCAGATATTTCCCCCCAATCTTTCTTCTATATTTTGGGTGGACAGGATGGGAAAAGAGCATACCTTCCCTCATGGGCGTAGTGAAGGGGAGGCAGCTGCCCCCTAAATAAATAAAAATCAATACAAATCTGAGGTCCTGTCTCCCCCACCTAACAAAAATCCTGGCCACTCCTATGCCTTCCCTACCCACCCATCTGGCCGACAAGTTCAGCTTCTGAAGCCACTCAATGTCCACATGTAAGCATAACACTTCAATAGGACATGCATAAGAAATATCCAATGTGGATAGGCCCAAATAATGCAAAAAGCTTCCAGGCGTTTTCTGAGATATCTAGGGTGCTGTTCTGGTCTATGTGCACTGGATGTTAGGCATGCATGCCATTCTGAAATGCTACATGTTTATACAAACATATAGTAAAACAGGCATGTAGATGGGTGGGGAGGCCCATTCTTTCTCCCTGAAATGTGCAGGAATAAGATCAGGGGGAGTTGTTGTTTTTTAATAAAAAAGCAAAAATGGATGTAAGATTTCTAAAACTTCTAGGTAGAGTGCAGGTGGGCCTAAAAAAATAAGAATAAAATGTTAGCGCTTTCCTTATTTGAATGGAATAGTGGTTCCCTTATTGAAAAACAAAAACTCGGCTCACAAAGAAACGTGTGTTTTAAAAAGAAGAGGACAAGATTCTTCAAACAATGTTTAGTAAAGAAAAACATATTGCCTGGCCTAAAATCGGCTATGCAGTACAAAGGTTTGAGTGAAATCAACTACCAGGTTTTTAGCCCTCCTGATTATAGACTGTATAAAGGTAATAACTGAACACAAATTCAGCCCAAGGTATTTAATAGCTGCTGAATAGCGAAGGGGATGAGGGCGGCTTCTGTGAACAGTGTAGGATCAGGCCCATTATGTTTTCACTTCTAAAGGCTTCTGGCCTTGTAGCTGCATATGGAAGTAATGAACACTTTAAGAAATGTATTTGGAAATGCATATTTCATAAGCGAGTTTTGCAGTACTTTTAAACCAGTGCTTTGACTCTATTTGTTTTAAAATTGAATAACACAAAGTAAATCACTAACATCCATTTAGAAACCAGTAGCTGTTCTAAACATGCTGATACTGTACAAGTAGATATTTTATATTCCTCTGTAAGTGATCTTAGCAGCACAGTGGAGAGGTCTACCCTCTCATCTGCTCACGAGGATGCAATTTAAGTATTAAGAGCTACTTATATTTTCCCATAACTGTATATCAAAGATGCTTGTGGCACTCATTTTTCTTCTTATTGTAAGAGTGTAACAGAGGAGGATGTGATGCAAGACCCCCACGCTGATTTTAATGGACAAGCAGAGTCATTTGTTGAACGTGGATGCAGTCCTTATTGCATTTTACTCAAGGCAGACAGACAAACAGCAGGCAGGCAAGTTAAAGGGGGAGGAGGAGGAATGACAATTGTTGCTCTGGTAAACAAAGAGAGAGAGGGGAAGTGTCTGCAGCAGTGATACCATGAAACATCTGGTAGGCAACCTGGCTAATGAGAAAAGGGAATATGACATCTGTATTCAAGCCAACTTCCTATTACATTAGCACCAAGGTGCTGCTGCTATTTATTGTTACTTGAAAAGGCCCATTTGGCCCTAGCATTTTATGAATAAGCATAGATGGAAGAACTATTTTCAACACTTGACAGCATTACTGAACAGACCATAATCTAAGAGCTTTATTTCGTTTAAGATGAAGATAGCAGGAAGAGGTACAAGTGCAATGCTTGCAATGCTCCTGGACTAGGTTCTTTTTACACCATACCTAAATGATCTCTTTTAAGGGAGTTTGAAAGTAAACAAATTAATCTATTTAACATCCAATTAAAATGGCAGGACACCAAAAAAATGCCATGCTTTCATTTTAGTTAATGAATGGCAGTATGTTATCAATCACAGAAAAATTAGAAAAGCTTTACATGGCGATTAGGGAGAACACCATACAAGATACATTAAAAGGTTTCAGTCGGATGTGGAAAAGCCAGGCAAACACTTTAGAAAAGGGCTCTTGAAAGTGTTTATCTTTACTGTGAAGTCTATATGAGGGCTTCCATTACACATGATTTACAACCAGGGCATACCAAAGGAATAAATATTATTGCAGAGTATTGAATATACTGTAAAGTGTGGAACTATGATGCACACAGTACTTCCATTCAGGATACTTGTATAAAACAAAAAAGTTTTAAGATGTGGGTTTTCACATCTTTTGCTCTACTGTTTAATCCGCAATATATGCCAAGCACTTCAATGACACAAGGCAGAAAGGGCTAACACTTGAAACAAGCAAACAAATACGTCTTAGCAGATGCTCTTCTGTTCTACTAAGCACAGGATATAGGTTGCTTACTCTGATGGTCTGATGTTAGCACATCCTGTGGGATGTGAAACACAGGAGCAGTCAAGTACAACATTGCTAGAGTGAACATGTTTACACATGGGGAGGGATGTTTGTCCAGCCAGCAGGTAAACTTCCTGTTTCCTTCTGGGCTGGGACAGACTTCCTCTGCATGTGAGTAGAGGTGGGTGTGGCCTCACCTGTGCAGGTAATGACAAAAGCACAGGGCAGGGCAGCCATCTCTCTCTCTTTCACCACATGCATCGAAGACACATCATCTGAGCGAAAGATGCCCTCTTGGCTTCTAGCCAAGAGAGGACAAAGGGACTGTCTTCTTAAGAGATAGATTCCAAGTGTATGTTACTTCATTAAGCTAAGTCTGCCTTCTGGGATCTGATTGTGAACAGAATGTGAGTAAACTCTTTTTATACTTTTGTAAAAGACTGTGTCATCTCTTATATTTTTTGAGGGAATAAGGGGAAATTACCAGAACAGTTATTATAGAGGCTTTAGCGAGCCTGAGCAAATGCAGCCGTTGCAAACTTAAAATAAAAGGGAATGTTACTCTGCTGAAATTGGGGAACTTGTTAACACAAGTTGGATAAGGATATAATCGGACAATATATCCTCTCCTGCATCCCTGAACATTCCCACACATCCAAGGCCTAGTTATGTATTTAACTGTTGGGTTGTATTTGCCCACTGCTTGTGCATGTCAACACCATGGCTGCAGTTTTCAAAAAGAGTGCTTACGAGTTGGTCGGTGTTACATTTGTGAATTTACCAACATGCTCTGTATTTCGTGTGTTTGCATTTGTGCTTTAATGCTTTGAATGTCTGCTGTGTGGTGCTTTGGCCACAGCTCATTGCAGAAAAGCACCATACAATTAAACTCCATCCATCCATCCATCCATCCATCCATTCATCAATCAATCAATCAATCCATCAAACTGAGAGACAGTTGAATTTCCAGTATTCTGACACCCCCACTAACATCCAGCATCCTCACAAACACCCAACTCTATTTTAGGAACAGGAAACATTATCCAGATTCATGGGAAGTTTCATTATGAAGCAATTTTATGCACTTGGACCAGGAAGCCTGAATTCAAATTCCAGCCCACCAAGGAAGTCAAGGGAACTACTATTGCTTGATTCATTTCCCTCTGCAAAATGAAAATATTGGTGACAGGGGCTTGTTTGTAAGGTTGAATGAGTTACAGAAACTAAGCCCTGGTTAGAATGTTCTGTGAGGAGAGTGAATTATACATTTTTATAAAAATTGTTTGGAGCAACACTGAAGAAAGGGACAAAAGTTTGGATTTAAATGAGGAGTGTGTATGGACCATGGTTCAGCATCAAAAGTTCTTAACGAATGGCAGCAATATGCATATTTATCTGTCATTAAATTCACTGGGAGTTATGTTACTGACGTCCATGAGCTGATGTCTATACCCATGACTGCTTGAGGACCAGAACTGTTAATTTCTCCACAAAATAACCATTTTATATAAAAATAATAATACTGTGCAGCATTGGAGTCACAGCAACAAAATTAAATTCTCTGGAAGCTATACCATATTGCTTTTGACTGCTGCACAGTAGTTTTTACACCCTTCCTTAGCTGAGTTGCATGGTGTACTTACCCAGTGCAGTAAGTCCTTCAGATATTGAAGTAAATATATACATTAGTACATGAGGCTCTAAACTGGTGATAAAACTCATGTGGTCCTGGGTGAGACATTCCAAGAGTGGATAATAAGACTGGCCTAGTTTTCGATATTGCTAGGGTTGGGGGGAGGGAGAGACCGAGAGAAAGAGACAGATGAAAAGTTACTCCATGTGGATTATTAACATTTATTGCATTAAAATACCTGCAAAGTAACTTCAATGCATTCTGGATTATCTACTGCATTAAATCAATTTTACACTGGAAACAAACCCAGCATAAGATATACCCTGGGCTGTGTTTAGTCTGTTCTATAGACCACCAAACTGGTGCCAAAGTAATCTGCATTTTGAAACTTGTATTAATTATGCAAATGCAGCCAGCTTATTCATAGATCAGATCATTTTGCAACTTCGTTCTGTTAAGTATGGAAAGAGGAAAGGAGCTGCACAAGCACTAAAGATTTCCCCGCTAACTAAGGCCAATATTCAAAGTATAGAACACACAATTCTGTCTATATGTTGACTTCCCTACTGGAGAGAGGAGAGATAATTGTGTGCATTTACGCACATGTAGGCACACTCTGTGGGGGGAAAGGGAGTGAGAACATGCACCATTACTTCTGAGCAACAAAGCAACAGCCATAACACCTAAGTATTTACCAGTTGCTATCCTTAACTTTTAAAAACATTAGCAAATCTTGCTTCCATTCTGCAAACACAGATATGTTCCTAGCTGTTATTGGGGACAGTGTGAAGGAGCAACAGAACATCCACACAGCCCAAACAACATTCTGTTCCAGGCATGGCTTTGTTTGCTCCTTGTTGTCATCTAAGAGTATCATGCCCTGGATTTTAATCCTAAAATTGAAAATAGTCTATTTCCAGGCTCTTACTGAAATCAGTGTCCTGGGCTGGATATGCACCAGATTTTAGCCTCCAAACTCTGAAAATAGCTTAGTCATTTGGGGGCATGTGTTTTGAGGGAGAAATATACAACTCTCCTATTGCTGCTGTAAAAAATAAATAAATCACAGTACATTAACTGCTTACAAAAAAAAACTGCTCCTGTGGCATTCTACCACCTATTGGCTCTTCCACATATTCCACTGTTGAAAACGCTGCACTATGTCATGCTTTTATAAATTTTATTTTGCAGTTTTACAGAAATCCAAATCCAATATTCCCCACCACACACTGCTTTTAGACCATGGTCATCTCTGATCACAGTATGTGGGGATTTTACTGGAAGGGGAACTTGACTGGCCCTTCCATCCTATCTGGTACATGTCTAGCATTTGCACATCAGTTGTAGCTGCTGAAGACTCAAAACTACACTCGAGTCAAGGCCTCATGTATTAACTCAAACTTTCTTTGGGAATATTTTGGCAAGTAGTGAAAGTCAGCAAGTCTCCCCACTAATTTCTTTCTTTCTTTTTTTTGCAGGGAAAAAGGGGTCTTTCATGCCCTGCTTGACTCGACTGCTTATACAATCAATGCATATCTCCTTATACAATTAAAAATTGCTTCTGCATAGAACTGTTTATAGGTTAGCCATTATAACATGAGAGTCTGGCTTTATATGCTTGACTTCATTTTTCCACAACCATGAATGGTTTTCTACAAGGTGAGTTGTATAAACCAATAAAAGGCAAATTAAAATTGCTAAGGCCCAGTTTATCTAGTACTGAAAGAACAAACGACTTGGTTCAATACTACAGTTTTGACAATGGCAGAATTTCTCTCTCCCGTATGCCAAGTAGTGGACTGTTAGCATCGTTGCCATTAAACCCATATGAATAGCTGTCAGAAGACTAATATTTCAGAAAAAATATGCCCCAAATTTCATAAGGAAAGGTTGTTGGTGTGCACTGTTACCGAAAAGGCATTATGGCATCTAAGCTAAATTAGAACAACGTGGAAAACAATTCTACTGCCATTCAGGAGAGGTATTAGACACAGAAGATAATTTGACCAATATCCTCTTATCCTTGTGATGCATTTTAAACATTTTGAAGTGAATACTTATCACTTGAGATAATGGAAATACTAATGGTATATTTGACTCTAAGAATGCAAATAAATGCAGGTAGCTGAGACTAAAAAGAACTGCCTTTGAGTTGTTCTAGATCCCCCTCTCTCTCCATTTTAAGCCTGTGGTGGTGATTTCATATTTTGCATAAAGACTCCCAAGACGAATAATTGCTTACTAGCAAGTCACTGTGGGAGACTGAGAGCAGCATTTTGACAAAGGCCTGAAGTACATTGTCAAAGTGGTTGTCCCCATACAACTTGAAGACGCCAAAGCTGACATAATTTCCACACAAGGCAGATTTGAGTGCAGAATAACAGATGGAGATACCCTTGATTTTCAATGGATAAACTTGATCTTTCGACAGAGTCCCAAGGGAGAGGATCTGATTACCTGTTTTCAAGGAAGGGGGAGGGGGGGGAGAATAAGGGATAAAGAGAGGAATTGACATAAGTAACTGAAAAAACTGAAAACTGTGTCGCTTCATGTTTCCATTTTACTGGGTTTTTATTATTATCTGAACACCCCATAACATTGATATTCTAGAATAGTAACATTTTAAAGGAATCACAACAATATATTTAAACAGAAGGTCCATAATAATACAATAAGGCAGGGGAACCAAACTGACCGTGGTTTCTTCTAGTGAGATTGATACCAAGTTCTAGAGATTGCATATTCTAAAATAAATGGTCATTCTAAAATACATGGTTATTTATATACAAACCTTAAATACAGAGCATAAACGGGTGGTTTACTTTTACCAGGCCATAAGAATGAATTACTGTTTTTAAAGCTTCAGTATTCTTTCCCCTTATTCTAGTAATGCAATTGTTTGGCATGCTTAGTTTGAGACAATGGCTATTTTGAGACCTGCTGAACAATTCAGAGGCCTTTGTAAAGGTGCTACCTATGATAAAGAGATAAGACACCTGTCAATGGCCCTTGAGATATTGCAAAAAAAGGGGAGAAATACTGCACATCAAGCTGCTGGGCTGAAGGGAATATAGTGATGAATACTTTTTAGCTCGAGTCTACTGATGTGCTTCTTCATCTCTACATCAACTTCCAAGTCCCTGGTGCAGTGAAAATTGCACTGACTTCACAGCTCCATTGGCCAACACCTGCAGTGAGTATGGCTCCTGCTGTACCCCAGAAAAATACATCACACTGGCTCTGCTGGCGATCTAAACTCCATTCCATGACTTGCCTGACTTGTGGAAATACTAGCATATGAGGCGCGTAAAGGTATTTGACTTGAGATTGGTATCTGTTTAAGAATAGTTGTAAAGAATAGCCTCGAAAGAAGATTCTGACCAGTTACTGAGAACAGTTCTAAAATGGGTAACAGGATAATCAAGAGCAAAATGAGCTAAGATCCGAAGAAAACACGCTGGATTAAAACTTTTACATCACAGACTACCTGAGAAGTATCACTTTTAGGGGAAACTATTGTTGGTAATATGTAAAACACAACTTCCTGGGCTCTATCTATAAAAGAGTTGCCCTTGTTCCATCCTTCTACACCAGGCAAACCTGGCCCTCCAGTTGTTTTGGGACTACAATTCCCATCATACCTGACCACTGGTCCTGTTAGCTAGGGATGATGGGAGTTGTAGTCCCAAAACAGTTGGAGGACCAAGTTTGGCCATGCCTGTTCTACACAGTAAGGGGATTAACATGAATACTTGTGAGGGGATCAAGCTGGCTAGCACCCCTAGCCTGGTTGATTGGTCCAGAATTCTCCTTCCTGTAGGTGCATAGGGCTCCTATTCACAGCCCTACACACAGCCATCTCTAATCCCTAATTCTAACTTGACAGAGAGCAATACTGTATTTACTCGAATGTAATGCACACCTTTTTTTGGTAATGAAACTTAGGGTGCACATTAGATTTGATGGCACACTAGATTTTTTGGTTTCAAGGTTTTGAAAACTGAGGTGTGCATTAGATTCGATGGTGCATTGGATTCGTGTAAATACGGTATTCTAATTTTTCACAAAGTATAATGTGGCCGAGTCTCCACCCTCCCCAAAAGATCTCCAATACTTCCCAAATTATTTTTAAGCCAACTTTTAAAGGAAGCTAGAGAGTATCTGTGGGGCGATTTTAGGACACACGTGCTCTGAGAATGACAAGAATCTCAAATTGATCAAGGGCACATTGGAAGTGGCAGCTAAGAAGCTGGATAATAAGCAGGCAGCAAACGGAACAATGAGCTGCTTCAGTGCACCACTCATTTCCAAAGTGTGCATTCCCTGAGAGTCCTGGCCACCACACACACTGGGGAAAATATAGGCTTATTTCCAGGATGCTTTTGATGAATGATGCTATCAACCTGGAGTTCTGTTCTATATGCTATGCACCTTCTGACCTAATAACAGAGCTACTAAAAGCTTGTGATGATAAGAATGCAACATGCAATCATCTTCTCACCTGTTTACGTGCTTAAAGGTAAAGGTAAAGGGACCCCTGACTATTAGGTCCAGTTGTGGCCGACTCTGGGATTGAGGCGCTCATCTCGCTTTATTGGCTGAGGGAGCCGGCATACAGCTTCCGGGTCATGTGGCCAGCATGACTAAGACGCTTCTGGCAAACCAGAGCAGCGTCCGGAAACGCCGTTTACCTTCCCGCCAGAGCGGTACCTATTTATCTACTTCCACTTGATGTGCTTTTGAACTGCTAGGTTGGCAGGAGCGGGGACCAAGCAACGGGAGCTCACCCCGTTGCGGGGATTCGAACCGCCAACCTTCTGATTGGCAAGTCCTAGGCTCTGTGGTTTAACCCACAGCGTCACCCGCGTCCCTCTGTTACGTGCTTGCTGGTGTTTAAATTTCACTTTGATTACATGATTCCAGTGCTATCTTTGATATTCTTCTCATCTTTTTGGAAGACATGGAAGGATGGGCAGGGGTCAAGCACACCCACCATCCACTGTTTCAGTCTTCTCCAACCATCAACCTCCATATGTTTTGGACTCCCACAAACTCTGACCACTGGCAAAGCTGGTTGGGGCTGATGGAAGTTGTAGTCAAAACATCTGGAGGATACCAGGCTGGGTAAGCTTGCACTATTGGGATAATTTCCTATTAATGAGGCAGCAGGCACAAACCTTGTGGTTGCTTGCAGCACCTCTACTGCAACCTTGTTGTTAGGGGAGGGGAAGTAAAGGTGGGACGGGGAGGGCATATTCAACAGGTTGCAGTTTCAAGTTACAGTAGCGGACTTAGCAATAGGCTAGTCAATAGTGACTATTTAGCAGAAAAAGGGCTTAAAAATTAAAAGTGAAGTAAGAAAATCACCACCCCTATTTCAAAATGAAACTAATTTTATTTGAACAGCATGCTTCACACAATTGCAGGGTGCACCAGTAGAGTATGGATTCTTAGAGTAACAGAACTGAGGTATTCTTTAAATTAGATTGACATGCTGCAAGTATCACTAAAAGAATAGAAGATTGTGCGATGTTAAACTACACGAGTTTATCAGATGCTAAAACTGCCAATACATATAGCTACAGAATGTAAATACCATGAGTGCTCAGTATAAAGGAACAAGAGTTGTTAACGGGGCAAAAAAATATAGTCCATTATTAAAATGGGCAATCTATTAAAAAATAATATTTATTACACAGCAAAGAACAATTTAACTTTTTTTAAGAGGCATTATTTTATTATGTTGCTAGGGTGGAATGGATTACAACACTAAGCTTTCCACAATAGATGTTCTAGAAGCAATTTAAAGCTCATTAGAAATAATGTCCCTGGCTACTGGAAAATGTGGTAAATGTAATCCACATCCAAATGTTACCTGGGCTATGAGAACAGGAAATTGTTCTGTGCTACTGTGGCTAACCTTGAATCTGACCCTGGACGGTAACTGCTAGAACAGCTGAAAGCTCCAGCAAAATTAAAAACTTACATCAAAGTATATCATGACAGAATGTAGATAAATAAAAAACAGCATATTGAAAATATTACTTTTTCTGTCAGTCTTTCGTAATGGCAAGGTAGTAAGGGCTGCTAAAAATACAAGGGGCTCCCGTCACAAACACTAGAACAATACATATATTAGGATCTAGAACAATTATATCTCACTTTCTGATACTTAGCACATCTGAATCCGTTATACCTATACGCAGAGTTTCCGATTAGCCTACACTATCATGGAACACAACTGAAGGCCAAGTCTGCTGTAGTGCAGGGGTGGTACAATGATGGACCACTTAGTGCTTAACTGGTTACCTGGATTCCACTCAGATATGTGCCCTTAGTCGACAGCGTGATGACAGAGGAGTGCAAATATAGCAGAGAGTGAGGGGAGAGACTCCATCAGGCAAGGCCTCTTTCCACCTGCCTTGCCTCACCCTCTAGTCTCTGCTTCTCAATTTGTATTATATTATTTTATGTACTGTGTCTTGCCGTTCTTGTATTGATTAGAAATTTATTATAACTGCTGAGCAGATTTCTGTTTAACTTTTATATGTTATTATTATTATTTAATACTATTCTAGTGATTGTTGAATGTTACTTTTTTGATACAGGCTACCTATTTTAAAGTTATGTTTTATTATCACATTTTTGTATTGCATTGGATTGTTATAAGATGTACATTTTTTGTTTCTTCAGCTTGTAAACCGCCTTGAGTATTGTAAGATTGAAAGGCGGTATACAAATTAAAAATGATGATGATGATCAATAGGCAGTGGCTTTCCAGCATGACAAAAAGGAGCTGTTTCAGTCCTACCTGGAGATCCCAGGGATGCAGTTTGGAAATTTATGCATGCATCTTTGAACACTGATACTTTGCTATTTAGGGGCTTGAGAAGGCCATTCCCTCCCTCCCCTCCCTTTCTTTCTTTTCTTTTCTTTTTTTTCCTCCCTCCCACTTCCAAATGGCACCCTCAACTTACTGGGTCTCAACTGTCCTCAACATTCAACAGGCCGCGTAAGTTCACAGGTTCTTGTGCGCTTGTTTTGATTTTGTTTAACTTTTAAAAACACATAAATGAACTGATATACTTCTTTGAACGTAGGGAATTTCCAAGTATACAGGAGCTACTAGCTTATTTTAATTGCCTTATTTTGCTTCCAGCCTGATAGGCAAAAGATCACGCAAGTGCGGTGCTAGAGGGATGGTGGCTTCCCTGTTGGAATCTGTCCCTAAGGTTGGTGTATACAAAGCAACCTGCTGTCCAGAAACAGTCTAAACTCGTCATCTCTCACAGTAGGCCTTGCAAATATCAACGTATTTGGAAGCTAAATCTTGCTTAATGAGAATGAGAAACTCCTTTGTTTCTAAAAAGGCAAGGTGATATATATAAAACAAAGCATCAACAGTTGCTCACCGTAAGTGCAAATCATCTTACTGGCCTCCCTGAAGAGGAGAATTCCATTAGGAGAAGACACATCAAAATTTAAACGCTGCGATCTGGAGGGAAAGTAGCAACATCTCTTCAAATAACCCAATAAAACAAACATTAATCATACATGCTATAACAGTGAACTCAGGTACAGTGGTGCCCCGCAAGACGAATGCCTCGCAAGACGGAAAACCCGCTAGACGAAAGGGTTTTCCGTTTTGGAGGTGCTCCGCAAAATGAATTTCCTATGGGCTTGCTTCGCAAGACGAAAATGTCTTGCGAGTTCCTGCAGGGTTTCCCCCCCCCCCTTTTTCCCAAGCCGCTAAGCCGCTTATCAGCTGATCCGCTAAGCTGCTTAACAGCTGATCGCTAAACCGCTTATCAGCTGATCCGCTAAGCCGCTTAACAGCTGATCCGCTAAGCCGCTTAACAGCTGATCCGCTAAGCCGCTTATCAGCTGATCCGCTAAGCCGCTTATTAGCTGATCCGCTAAGCTCACTAAGCCGCTAATAGCACTAATCCGCTAATGGGCTTGCTTCGCAAGACGAAAAAACAGCAAGACGAAGAGACTCGCGGAACGGATTCTTTTCGTCTTGTGAGGCACCACTGTACTGAGTTATGGTGGTCAAACAGCTAAATCAGGGGTGCCGAGAAACCAGAGGGAGGTATGCTCAGGAGAACCCCCAAGACTTGCCGAAGTAGGAAAGAAAACACAGAGAGACTTAGTGGGGAGATGTACCCCAAAACAGTCCAATGGGGACTGAGCATGTTAAGTAGCCACAGAACACTGTTTTTTAATTTTTTATTTATTTAAGAATTTAACTGCTTATTGCATGGATTTTCTGTAAGCGGGAACAACTGACGCATCTGAATCAAAATGCAAAGAAGACAGTTGTGAAGAGAAGAGAACTAATACATAGTGCTGATTAAACACAGTGGCCAATTTAATAGAAAAAACATTTTTTATAAGTTGGAACCCCCTGAAGCTTTCTGTTGCTTTGGTGGGCCAGACATTTTACTGTTACTGAATAAATGTTCTTGTTTAAATAAATAAAAGCATTTTTTTTAAAAAAAACCACAGCACCTTGATTTCAGTATTTGAATTCTACACTAGCTGCAGTTTTCAAAGTGACTTCCAAGTATTAACTCCCCTCAGTGATTTTCACAAGAGGATCTACCACAACGCCCCACTTCTTCAAGTGAAAGGTGCATATTCACTACATTCTCCTGTATGGAATGAAAGGATTAGTTTCAAAATATGTGGAAAGCCATCATGAAGGTGCTGAGGTGGAAATAGATTTATCTCACAGGCACTAAGAAGGATGAAGCATGATCCCATGCTTCCTTCTACACACGTACACCCTGCCACAGTTGCGGATATTTCTTCTTGTTCCATATGAGTGACATCTTTTATGTATTTACAGTGCTGGTTTATTGGTGGTTTAAACTGTTGTTATACTTATGTTTTCATTTATTGCATCTACTGAACTTTTGTAAATAGCTTCAGTACTATTTTTGTGAAATGCTAGATTAAATTAAATTAAGTAATAATTAAAATAATGAAGGAATGGAGCAAAATGTTCCATTCATTTGTACAGGCATAGCAAAGCTTTGTGGATACCAGAGAGACCTATCAGATTTTCAGTTCTCTACAAGAAGTTGCAATTTTGTATGGCACCGAAATGCTTTACAAAATGTGTGTATTACATACACTGTAGAAAATGGTAACATCTGGCAGATGGAAGAAACTGAAGCAAACCCTCATCCTATCATAATGCACAATTTGATACCCTGTAACATATTTTCACCATGTCAAAGTGTATTGTATTATGCATTTTAACCTGTAAAACCTAATTCAATACACAACTCCAGAAAAAGCAAACCCATCCCTGATGATGTTCTCTAAAGGGAACAATACAGGCTTTCTGCATACCAATAGGTAGATGAATACCATGAATATGCAAAGTAGTTCAATGAGTTTCCTCCTTTGAAGATTTAATCTACTAGCACCTCTTTGCATTGTCAGTATTTGTAAACATGTCTCCAAGAACTTTCTCCTCTAATGTCTCAGCATTACCAATTTTAGAGACGTGCGATATAGATAAATGAATGTGAAGATTGAACAACTCTCAGCCTAGCCCACCTCACATGGCTGTTGTGAAGGTAAAAGGGGAAGACAATGGACACAACCTTGAGCTCCTGGATGAAAGATCAAGCTCCAAATATAGAACAAGTAACAAATTTGTGCAGTTTCACAACTCTCAGCAAAACATATGCATACAAAACATTTTGCAGGAATTGATAAACATATGTTTGTGTTATAGTATAGTCCATAGGAATATTAACTTGTTGCAGCTGAAAGGTGTTTAATTATTATTTGGTTGTATTTGTTGATTCATTTTGTAGTTTATATTTTTGTATCATTGTAATCATTATTACATTACATACCCTTTACCAACAGGTCCCAGGGCAGGTTTCAATACTTTAAAATTGTGTTAATAACAGTTAAAAACAGTTCATAGCCATAGGAACTGGGTGGGTCTTAAAAACACACACTTCTCAGCTGTCAAAGGCCAGGGTAATGATGTTTACAGTATATTAATAAATAGCAGCCCAGTGATGACAAACAAACTAGAAGTGGTTGCATGAGCCAACCATCTATGATTTTTTCTGTACAAGTGGAACACCACTTGGGGAGTGAAATGATATGGACACAGTGCTTTAAAAAACATTCCCCAGTATCCTCCTCCATCCTACTTGAGGTGGTCCCCCACCCATACTGGAAGGGGCCCCTTCTAAGTCTCAGGTGGGGGGTGTCAGCATCCCTTCCTCTGGTTGCTTAGCATTAAGCGTCCTTAGCAATGGTGCTGCTTGCTGAGTGCAAAAGCTTTAGAGCTGCTCTGAGTTTTCTACTCGAATGTCCAACTGACTTGCTCTTTCTTTCTAAAAAATGAAAACTAAGTGTCTGCTGGCCCTCAAATCCTACCCCTTCTACCTATTTGTCAGCAGTCCTGACAATGATCAACTTGTAGAGCAGAGGTCGGCAGCCTAAGGCCCGGGGGCTGGATATGGCGCGCGGGGATCGTTTAACCGTCCCCGAGCGGCCCCCAAACCCTGCTGCCCACTCGGCAAGTCCCCGCGCACTGCACTAAACCGGCACAGCGTGGCTCGGGGACTCACTTCTGTGGCGCTGGCGGGGCTTCCTATCGGATGCAGGAAGCTCCTGCAGCCAATAGGAAGCTACAGGCACCTCCTCCACGCCGAAAATAGCGTCCGCGCATGCGCACACACGCATGCACCTGCTCCGCGCCGGAACGGCCCGCAGAGAGATCTCCGGGGGAGTGAAACGGTTCAGGCTGCTTAAGGCTTGCCAACCCGTGTTGCAGAGCAATCCTATGCATATTTATTCAGAAGCAAGTCCAACTGTGTTCAATGAGGCTGATTCTCAAGTCAGTGTGCACAGGACCCAGTCTGAGTAAGTCCCATTGAACTTAATGGGATTCACCGCTGAGCAAAATATTCACAGGACTGTATTGTGCTGGAGGAGACTCTTGAGAGTCCCATGGACTGCAAGAAGATCAACCCTATCCATTCTTAAGGAAATCAGCCCTGAGTGCTCACTGGAAGGACAGATCCTGAAGCTGAGACTCCAATACTTTGGCCACCTCATGAGAAGAGAAGACTCCCTGGAAATGACCCTGATGTTGGGAAAGATGGAGGGCACAAGGAGAAGGGGACGACAGAGGACGAGATGGTTGGACAGTGTTCTCGAAGCTACCAGCATGAGTTTGACCAAACTGCGAGAGGCAGTGGAAGACAGGAGTACCTGGAGTGATCTGGTCCATGGGGTCACGAAGAGTCGGACACGACTAAACGACTAAACAACAACAACAACATTGCACAAGAACTTCAAGGACTGCAATTGTTTGTGTGAACATGGCCTTAAGGTGTGACCTTTCAACGTCAACATCATTTTGAAGAAAGACCCCAGAGGAATCTCAGATGTGATTTTCACAAATGCAAAATAAAGTTTGTTTTGAAGGAATTCCAAAGCATGGCAATGGTAGTTGCATATTCCAAGTCTGAAAACATAATACAATCTCTAAAGTTTATCAGGACAGTTGAGCAAGCCTATGATTAATTCTACCTGTTTTGCATCATCTCAGCCATGAGCTTCAAAATAGGAGTAGTACATGCTGGTTCACGATACCACAGCTCAATAGCTCTTTGAAGAATAGGGAGATATGACGGGTATCTTTCATAATGTAAGTTAAAGATAAAATTCTTAATAAAAGATTCTCATCACACACAGCTTCATTTCAATACTTACTTTTAAAAACATGACTAAGGTTTGAGGTCTATTCTTTAGCTGCTATAAATTATCTCTGAAACCAAGCCAAATTGCTTCAAAAGACAATCTTAATGTGCACTAACTGAAGATTTTGTTTTGTAGCCATATCAATCACTAGAGAATCAAAGATCTTGCTGATGGGTCCAACCTCTGGCAGCCCAAGAGCAGCAGAGGCAAATTTAATGAAAGAATCAACCATGCTAAAGTTAGAGGAATAGTTTAAGAACAGACAACACTAATAAAAAACCCCTATGTAGCTACAAAGGAAGAAAAACAAGGATATCAATCAATATATCAATGCTCCTAGTCCTAAATGGAAAGCCATCAGAGCAAAATGCTCTGATAACTTCCGCTGTAAAAACTCTGCAAATATCCTGATATGGCTAGCCAGTTCAATCAAAACTGAAGAGCTCTAGCAGTAGGTATTTGGAGATAAAGTTTAGGTGATGGAAACCCAAAGGAAGAATGGCTTCTGGCATCCTTGATTTCATGGATGCCTAGTATAGTGACAGAAGGAACTTCATAGACAGTTCATTCAACTTTTTTTAATATCTGCTTTCCTTCATTGATAACTTGGATGTTCTGTTTTCTTAGCAAAAATAAATAAATTTTAGTGGAGTTTCTGAACATTCAGTAGATATTATGTAAAGGGACCCCTGACCATTAGGTCCAGTCGTGGCCGACTCCGGGGTTGCGGAGCTCATCTCGCTTTATTGGCCGAGGGAGACGGCGTACAGCTTCCGGGTCATGTGGCAAGCATAACTAAGCAGCTTCTGGTAAAGCAGAGCAGCGCACAGAAACGCCGTTTACCTTTCCGCCGGAGTGGTACCTATATATCTACTTGCACTTTGATGTGCTTTTGAACTACTAGGTTGGCAGGAGCTGGGACTGAACAACAGGAGCTCACCCCGTTGCAGGGAATCGAACTGCTGACCTTCTGATCGGCCACCCGCGTCCCTCAGTAGATATTAGATTGCTGCAGTATCTCCTGTTTTAGGGAGGGTCCTGACTGGCAGCTGAGCCAGTCTACTTGATTCTGCCCTGATGACTCTCTCCTTAAGCAAACAGGAGGTTGCCTCCTTCTTCAGGGATTTTGAGCACAGGCTCCCTGTCTGGTGATGTAGGCTTTTGTGGCAACACTGTTGGTCATAATGTGAATGCAGTAACCTGTCAAGAGGGGGAAATTGAAGTCTTAGGACAAATGGATAATTATGGACAAATTGATAAGACTTGAATTTCCCCTCCTCCACTAAATTTTGATCTGCAGACATCAATATATAACCAATCAAATGTACACTAGAATCAAATTTACATTAAAAGATATGCTACACTTCTCAAAGCAGTGTCTAACACAAACTCATTCAAATGATTAAAATCAGAATGCAGTCTCATTAACAGAGTTTTCAATAGTCATGTGGTTCTAATATTTACTTATCTCAAGAAACTACATACTTTGATCATGTTATAGGACCTATTTCTTGAGGATTATCACAAAATAGGTCATATAACATGATCAAAGTATGTAGTTTCTTGAGATAAGTAAGTGTTAGAACCACATGACTACTAAAACTATGTTAATGAGAATGCATTCTGATTTTATGCTTAAGGGCGCATGGTCTTAGAAAATATTGTTCCTGTATATTCAAAAGTACCCTGCACACCTAATATGCTGTATTGCTGAATATACAAGGAAAACCAACTTCCAAAATATAACACTTGAATCACTGACAGTTTGACATATCAATATTTTAAAAGAAACGAATGACTTTCATATTCATGATATTTTTAGTTCCATGCACCTTCCCTCGCAATACTTCAAGAACAGCCTATATACCTTACCACCAGAAATGTCTTTAAAATATTTGGAGATATTTTAATAAAGCCTTATGAGAGATCAAATAACAACTTTGTAACAGATTTTTCTATTATTGCACATATTTGCTCTTCATCCTTTGCCCAGAGGGAAAAACTATAAATCTTTTCTCAACTGAATGAACACCATTTATCATATTCATTTTCTTGTCAATACAATTATGAAAAGCCTTTGGCCTTTTTCCAAGGAGCCTGATTTGTTACAGAAACCCAATTAGTATAAGCAAGCCTGCTACAAACAATCCTATTTTACAGGATAATGTTACTATTCTGCTTGCTGGGCTATTCGCTTCTAAACATTACCCAAGAACTGTTATAATATATAAAACATAATAATTCCCAGGTTAAAGACCAAGTCAAAGATGTTATGAATTCTGTTCATCTTTGCCATCTAGTGGACAGAAGTAAAATCAGAGTGGTTTCCTCAAATCTGAAGAGGATATCTAAGGGGGTCACCACTAGCAATTTTAAGACCACTTTTGAATCTTTTAAAAATGTTGCTCATCTGAAATGGAAGCAGGGCTCTCTAGAAAATGCATGCATATGACTGATGATGGCTGCTTCATCTTTTGCTCTCTTCCTTTTATTCTACTTGCTGCTGAATCATTTTGATACAGTTTTAATATTCCTAGGTTTTAATCTGCATACTGCTTGGATTTTTGATTTTTTTTACATATAGGGAATCAAAAAATGTAAAAATAAAATAAATAAATCCTATTTTTAGAGTGAGGTGTCCTTTTTCTTTCTTTCTAAAAACACCCAAACCACTTTTCTATATAGGCAGGAGAAACACAAAAACAAGTTTAAATATTACTTAAGAAAACCTGCAACTGGAACATCTTAAAATTGCTAAAGCCCTAAAGTGTTTGAGTTGACTTTATATACTATCCACCTGATGATGATGGTGATATAATAATAATAATAATAATAATAATAATAATAATAATAATACCCCGCCCATCTGGCTGGGTTTTCCCGGCCACTCTGGGCGGCTCCCAGCAGAATATTAAAAACACAATACAGCACCAAACATTACAAACTTCCCTAAACAGGGTTGCCTTCAGGTGTCTTCTTAAAGTCAGATAGTTGTTTATTTCCTTGACATCTGATGGGAGGGCATTCCACAGGGCAGGTGCCACTACCTAAGGTGGGCAAGTTGTAAAAGTCCAGAAAGGCCCATGGCTTTGTAGGCTTCAGACCCTTAAATCCCCTAGGAACTCAAGCTGCTCAACTTGCTCACCCCACCCTTTCAAACCCACAAGTGAGCATCCAATATCTGCAGAAAAAGTTATTTTGGTTTCCCAGCACAGCGTAAGAGAAGACTCAAATAATGGAAATCCTACAGCATGCATAATGTCACATGAGAGATCTCATAGTTACTTACACAGTAATGACTAAAATATACTAAATACAATTTCTTCAATGGGTGGATTATGATGATAATAAAAAGAAATCAGAAAGAGCCCCGATAGCAGAGGTACATCACACTGTAAATTAAAGGGCTTTAAATTAATCTAAGTATTGCAGGCTAACAATAGAGTAGGAGAATAATTAGGGATTAGTGTGGCACAACCCCCGCTCTGCCAAAAGTGACCTCTTTGTGGTCTCTCTCCAAATGTTGCCCTCTCAGTTAATGGTATGATTGCAACTGTACTGTAATTTTAGCTGATTACGCATTAGTTCATTTAGCTTTGTTTCCTCTTCCCCACTGTGCCACACTATTAAACTAATGCAAGGGACCTGGCATCCCTCTGTGCACAGAGCCGGCATTGTCATAGTGTAATAAGGATACATCCAGTCAAACAGCATGGTGTAGCTGGTCTTTGTGTTCAGAGCAAAGGCAATCCCTCGAAGATCTCTCGCCAGTCCGATCAACATACGCTGTCAGTGGGAAAGAGACACAGTAATTGATTTTCACGTTAGCACAGAGCAGATGGAGTCATGATCAGCCAATAATGAGCACAATATCTGATTTTAATTCATTAGCGTAAACGTCTTTCCCCCCCTTTTTTCTTTTAAAAAAACCTAGGGCTTCTAAGTCTCCAACTTAAATATTAATACTAAGCAAGTGATTTTTGCGCAGCGATAAGCTTATCAATAGAAATAATAAAATGTATTCAGCTTGAAATAGTAGATATGAGATCATATAATAAATTAAAGCCCAGACACATTAAACAGAAAGTAACTTCTATTTATATTCCCACTTTCATTTTTCGTTTTTCTCTTTTTAAACTAGGCATGGGGATCTGCACTGAGGTCACTTATTCTAACTTGGTTATCCCTCAGAAATAGTCTGAGCAAAATTTATTTAGCTGTTCAGTTTTATGTTTGAAACAAGAATAGATGCTAAGCATGGAGTATGAATATATATTTCCATAATTATTATTTAGTATATTCATTATTGAATGTGTGTGTGTGTGTGTGTGTGTGTGTGTGTATCAACATGCAATTCATTGAAAACATTTATTAGAATAAAATGTTTGTTTTTAAAGATTGACCCATGCATCCTCTTTATAAAAACAGATTCAACAGCTGCTGAAATTGTTTAAAAGACAATTCCTAAAATCATATGTAGACTTCAAGTGTACATGGCTGTCCTCTCTCTAGGAGAGGAAAGTGGTGCTTTTAGGTAAATAAATAAGCTATGCCATTTTTAGACTTCGCAAAAAATGGGGGTTGACATTGCCATCTGCATATAGTCAGCTCTAAAATGATAATGTTAATCAGACTGACTCTGAATAGGAATTCTTTGGTCTGAAGGTTAATCAGATGGGTTTATCATAAGAAATATAGTTTGCTGGAATTATGTTTACTGCAAGACAGGGCTAATTTGAGGCATCAATGATATTCAGCCACCCTACTGAATTCGCAACATAGCATCTATCCAGCCTGTATCACCCATGCTGACAACGTATGGACCCAAACTAACAAGGATGAAAAGGAGCAAAGTTCCCCATTTCACCTTCTTTTAACAGAAAACAACTAGAAAAGTCGTGCATATTTATTTTATATTTTTGGACAGGTTACGCCGCAAGGCCGCTCGGAAATTTGGGGAGTCCCTGAGATGCCTTGTTAATGGTGCAATTCTACTCAGAAATGTGGGACCCTTCCGTGAATCTCCCCAATTCATCTAGGAATTCGGGGTACACACAGAACCAATGCAGACTCCTAGTAAAGAAGTTATAAATTAGCATGATTTAGTGTCCAATTTTTTGCACCATTGTTTAGGGAATATATGAAGATGTAATCCATGGGAACCTTGAGTGGAACTGAACATTGATCTAAGGAACAATTGCTGAAGGGAACAATCTCCCCTTCCACCATGTGCTGTTCTGGGGGTTCTCCTGATGACCCCACCCCCCCAGCAGACTTGGAGGAGGCACAGGGGGGGATGATGGAGATAGTTCGATTGCAGTAGTTGAAGTCCTTACGCTGGTTTTCACTAACAGAACCAGGTAATTGAACCCTGTCCTTTGATTTATAAAGGTTAAGGGACCCCTGACCATTATGTCCAGTCGCGGACGACTCTGGGGTTGAGGCGCTCATCTCGCTTTATTGGCTGAGGGAGCTGGTGTACAGTTTCCAGGTCATGTGGCCAACATGACCAAACCACTTCTGGAGAACCAGAGCAGTGCACGGAAATGCCGTTTACCTTCCCGCCAGAGCGGTACCTATTTTTCTACTTGCACTTTGTGCTTTCGAACTGCTAGGTTGGCAGGAGCAGGGACGAGCAATGGGAACTCACCCCGTCACGGGGATTCAAACCGCCGACCTTCTGATCGGCAAGCCCTAGGCTCTGTGGTTTAACCCACAGCGCCACCCGCATCCCTCGCCTTTGATTTATATTTGCCTTTTTTCTTCTTGTGGAAATAGTTTTACAGCAAACCACCCTAGTGGGCAGCAATGGTAGGATATCCAGCAATGAGGGCCCAGATCTGCAATACACTACGCGGAAACCTGCCCTTCCCCATGATTAGAACTAGAAACAATAACACAAAGCAAAGAAACAAGTGTAAATGTTTTTAATCTGCATAACTTATACAGGAAAATCCAGTTTATTTTGTCAAATATATTTTATGTTTGTTTTTAGCACAGAGCCCAGGGACACAGCAATGGTGTAGGGAGGGAGAATGTGGATGAGCACGGCAACGGGCTCAGAAGTGATAACAACATTTGCTAGAGTCTTGGGGCGCAGTGGGGTATGGCAGGCTAGGCTGAGACAGTGACTGGTCCCAGGTCATCTGTGAACTTCATGGATGATCAGGGACGGGAACCCATGTCTTCAAAGCCATTTCTTTCTCTTTCTCTCCCTCCCCTTGGGGTTTGGGCTATGGGGATCCATCAGTTCAAAATTTAGCACTATACCACTGAACACACGACTGTTTTGTATTACTTGTGTTTCTATCAACATCACTATGAGGTCCCCTCACTCCCTTGACTTAATTCAGTCCAAAATTATTTACATTTCTGACAAAATGCATTGAGCATAAGTAACACAGCCAATATTCTGAATAGGCAACTTGGAGAATATAACCCACTGAGCTTAGAATCTGGGATGAGACTTAGTGTGTCAGGAGGGGAAAGGGCACTTTACAATTAAATGGCTTGGACAGGACCTGGTTATGTTACAATTCTCTTTCTGGGACTAGACTTACAATGAGACCTCAGAATGGACCTTGTCACAGAAACTTTTCTATGACCAAGACTACGTTGATGTACTGCCTGTCATTCAATACAAACAGTGTGACAGTATGAATAATTCCAACTACCCAAGTCATTTCTCAAAATCCTTTTTCTTCTATTAACTCTTTTACCTATGATTTCCAGATGAAGCCTGCTTCCCCTTATAAATCTTCATAATTTCCAATGGCAAATGTATATAACTTACAGTAGCAAAGTCTACTGTAAGCCATTACCTAAAGCAGGCTTCCTCAACCTCGGCCCTCCAGATGTTTTTGGCCTACAACTCCCATGATCCCTAGCTAGCAGGACCAGTAGTCAGGGATGATGGGAAATGTAGTCTCAAAACATCTGGAGGGCCAAGGTTGAGGAAGTCTAAAGCTACACAGTGTATGGCTACAGGGATAACAGAAATCACAGTTTTGTAGAATTGGATGGGTCATCTAGTTCAACTGCCTGCGATGTAGGAATCACACCCAACAAATCCCTGACAGATGACCATCCAGCTTCCATTAAAAAGGTGAGTCTACCGCCTTTGAAGGTTGGTTTAGTCCCTAATGACTCACACCAAAATCCATGCAACAAAATCAATCTGGGGCAGTTCAGAGAAGGTGAAACCAGTCCACCTCTCCTTTCAATGGCTGGTTTAGTCTTCACTGCTAGGGATCGCAACACATATTGGACTGCAGGAAGCACCAAGATGCTTCCAACCTATCCATCACCCTCAGGTTTCCCTCTGTATATACACGCTTTCCCTCTGTACAAAGATTCTGTGATAATAATAGGGGCTAAATAAATTTAAAGTTATGAATAAGTGTGAAAAATACCGATCACATGTGATATGAAAGAAAAAGAA